TGGCAGCAGAGGGGTGGAGGTGGCAAGTGGTGACTGCCAGCTGAAGCCTGGCAGTGGCATTGGCAGTGGGGCAGCAAGCAGCAACCACCTGTAGAAGCCGGTGGTGGCAGTGTCATGGCAAGTGTCGACCACCCACAGAAGCCAGCAGCAGTGGTAGCCAATCTCAGGAGGGGGACATGCCCCCCCATGCCCCTCCCTACCAGTTGCCTATGGAGAAAGTTGTGAAGAAAAGAACTTGGCCAGAACTGAAGAAGGCCTGGACCTTCATATGCTGAATGAGAGTATCTAGTGCGGATTACAGTATTGAATGAATCTTCCTCTAAAGCACTTGATGCTAATTGCTTTTAGAGCCAGGGCTTCTGCCCCACCACTCTGAGCCAATGTGGCAACTGTATGGAAGCCTGCAAGAGACAGTCCTGTTTTTCCTTGCAAAACTGAAAACAGGTAACCTTGCATCTTTATAGTGATCAATGCAAACATAAAACAGCATTCTGTGAGAATGGCACCATCTTATACATGATTCATACTTTGTGTAGATAAGAACATAAAGGCTTTCAGCCATAGTCTGAACTCTCTGTATGGGGCTAGTAGTTCAGGAGAACGTGCTCAAAGGCAGAGCCTCAGGCATAAATCTGGGGACACAATCCATTGTTTTGTTAACTGGAAGGTGTTAAACACTGCCACTCACAGACCGGGCCATAGTCTGCACTAAGCACCCTTCTTCAGGTTGACAAAGGAGCCATTAAATGCTCCCTTCTACAGTTGGAGCTGAAATAATATAAGCCCACTGTTCAAGACACTAGCCAGGTTGCCAAGGCCTGAGTCACAGGGCATTTATATATGTATTTTGGGAGGGTGGGGGAGTGCTTTAATTAGCGCAGCTCTGAGACAGAGCATCTAGAGTGTCACGTGTATTGGTGTCCCTGCACTGGAAAATGGCAGTGGGGCACTTTGAAAAAAAATCGATAAACAAGCTTTTGTTTGAAGAGTCCCACTGCCATTTTTCAGTGGAGGGACACTGATGCATGTGACGCTGGAGTCTGCTGGAGCACATTAATTACCACACTGCAGTAGACTTGATTAATCGAGTCTACTCCCACATGCTGTAATTACAGTGCATCGGAGCAGGCTCCCTGCACGTGTATAGGAGCCCATAAAGACCAAGAGAATTTTCTAGGGAATGGTTGCAAATGGAGGGATGAGACATTGACTGGTTGTAGATGTGTGTGTCAAGAGCTGAAGGGAGAAGAAAGAAAGTGGGGAAAGCCAGAGAACTGGTGGAGAAGTAGACCCTGAAAATGATCATAGATAAATGTTTCATCAGGCGCAGTGCTTGCTGGCAAGGTGGATTTGGAAATCTTCATGAAAGAACTGACTGCTGCCATGTGTTTTACCTAGGTTTGGTGAAAGAACAGTTTGGTGCCGTGCTATGTATTTACAGAGAGTTCACAAAAAGAAACACTTGGCTCATTTTGGTAGTTTTTTCTCATAAGGGCAACAGCCTGGCCGAGTCCCCAAAACTGGCTAATTCCCTTGGCCCAAAGGGCAACGAAGTATTGTGCTTCTATTACAGCAGGAACAGTTCTGCTCAGACATTCCTGAGAGAGGGGTTTTTTTCCTTCTTATTGGGCTGAACTCTACCCTCTGTGCTTTATTTGCTTTCCATCTCAACAGAAGTTTTGTAAAAATGTAATTGTCTCCACATAGATGCCCAAGATGCTCCTGTGAATACAGTGTGTCCCATAGGCCCTTGACACATGGTTAAATGCTGCTTTCCAAAGGAACCTGTAGAAGCCTAAGAAGAAACAATTCTTTTGTTTTTGGGTAGGTCAGCTAGCATTAGGTGTTGCTTAAACATAGGCTTTCCCTTGGCTGTGCTGTATCATGTAAAACCATTGAGCGTGCTGTCCCTTACTCATGGACTCATTCTTTGTTGATACTGCCTGTATTACCCTGCAGTAGGCTTTATTTCGGGGTGGATAATGATGAATGAAAATCAAACTTCAGAAAAGTTGTTTGGTCTGTAAGTGAAGCCTGGTAAGTTTTTCCATGCTCCTTTCCTTTTTACTATCTTTCTATGAAAGTCTTGACCAGATCCTCCCTTGTTTTCATCTAGCTGAGTGATTACTCTCTGACTAGTTGTGCTGGAAACCAATCTGACTACTTGAAGAATAAGTTGATGCTCCATGGGAATGAGGGTAGCAGAATACGGCATTCTGTCAGTACACTGGAAGGCAGCTCAAGCATCTCAAATGAATTGTTGTAAAATGGTGACCTGGGTAACAAAAGAATATTTTTCTTAAGTTTATTGCAAATTGCTGCCACCTGAGTCCTGTAAAGGCTGAGGCAGTACTCTCTGTGCAGTTCTGGGGGGAAGAAGTGTCCACATCACAAATGCCATTAGCTTTGGATAGTAACTGGCCTTTTTGTGGGAAGCTTCAGCAGAAGAACCAAGATACTTGTGTGGTAGCTGGCTCTTGGTATGAGCTCCATGCACCCTCTAGATACAAATCTAGCTTCCTAGTGCCTCCTAATGTCCCAACTCTAGGGCTGGCAAAAACCAAGCAAGCAACTTGAAAAAGAGTTCTTAGAGGTCTGCTGCAGGTACACTGATTCCTTTGTACAATTTGAGCAGCTACTGCTGCGATACCAGCTCTCTGCTTAGAACAAGAATGTCTTTTTGCAAGGACGATAGTCTGGTACAATACGTGCCCCAATTTCAAGTAAAATGCTTTTGCAGTGAATTTCTATCAGGTTCCTTTAATCTAATATCAGTGCCTTGAAATCTATCCTCTGTCAGTGCTTCCTTCTGGTCTCTGAAGAAGAGGGTTCTGTACTTACAGGTGAACTTAAAATCCAGCAGGAGCTGGATTTCAATGCTTATGCATTAGCCTTGTGTGAGATTTAGAACAAAAGCTTTCACGTTGCCACTGCCAGCATTCCCCGCATATGAATGCAAGTGCTGGGGTGGTTCCCCATGCCTTTCTGCTGTTACTCAAAAGGAAAACAACAAACCCACAAAGATGCTTCCATATTGATCCTGTACATGTTCAGTGAAGGTCTTTGACATAGATTTTAGTGGATGCAGAATAAGACCCGCAGAACTAAAGTGTTCCCAGAGCCAGCTTGGCTTAGTTCACTCTCCTTGTATCAGAGCATTAATTCCTGCAAGCTCTTTTAACCACCCTTAGGAAACCACTTCTTCATTAACTCTGATCCATAGTCACATTAAAACGTGAAATCACTGGGTGCGAAAATAGTATATTCACTGCTACTTAATGTAATATTGCCACAGCAATTCCTCTAAAAATATCTTGTCCACTTGATTGCTTTCATTGTGAACTAGAGATAATGTACCACTTACAGCTGATGATTAAAATTCATAAAGCTTCAGTTCTTAATTACAGTAACTCTGCAATCAGAGTGAAATGTCAGATCCTGTATGTTATTTGTGTATATACAAACTCAAGAAAACAAGGAAATGTTCTACAAGTGGTTCTGAAACAGTGGGCTATGGAGGGGCTATAGGTAGGCTGCAAGGGTGGACACAGGGAATAAGAATTTTTCTAGTCTCTTGCTAAGATGCTGGGCTGCTGTATCTCTCAGAGAGGAAGTGAGAGAGCTGTCTTTGTGTGGCATTGAAATGGGGGCTAATTAGCCCCTGTGCAGTGTCATGCAAACACAGCTTTTTTGCTTCTTTTGCAGAGCTAGCATGAGACAAATCTGCTTCTTATGTCTCTATGGCTGGTCCAGCAAGAGGACCTTGAGAGAGATAGGCCATGGGGCTGTGCATAAAGCTGAGGGCTGGGCTGAGGGGCTGTAAGTGGACATCAAGGGGGCCTGTTGGGGTGTGGGGATTATGGAGGTGGGCCATAGTATCAGAAAGGTTGAGAATCACTCCTCTCCCTAACAGAGCTGGGTTGTACGGCTTATCTTTTTAACTGAGAGGATCTTCTGCAGAAATACTCAAATGGGTCTCATTAAAACAGGTTAGGACCAACAAAAAACAGATCTCTAATCCAGCAGAAATCACATCAGGAAAAAAAATCACCCCTGAACACACGCAAAAATCTGAAATAAGATAACAGTTGTTAAGGCACATAAAGAGGCAGCACAAACAGCAGTAACTCATTGTAAAGGATAGGAGGGATTTATGTAAGGAGTAAAGGAGGATGTTTAACATGGTCAGGATTAAGATTAAATTTAAAAGAAATCCAAGCATGTAAAGTTCGAAATGCACAGCCAGTGCACCCAAATTCCCCTTACTCTCCAAGGGACTGGTGGAAAGAGGAAAAAAATATTACTTCTCTTTTAAAATTGTTCTTTTAATTTTGGGCTTCAAGCAGTTAAATACCCTACATATAACTGTCTGGGTACCACACCTGATACTGCAGAGCACAATTATGTTCATTTTGATGGTTAATGGATACCCTACCTCTGCATCTCCAAGCCTCTGCATGTTCTGCTTACTTTCAGGTTTAACCTTAACACCAAATTCCATGGGTTTGTAATGCTGGTGAAATAATCACAGAAACAATTGCAGATATCTCTATTATGTATTTTACCCTACATTTATCGGTACATGCTTAGCACCTTAGCTGCATTTTTCCCTGAGGTTTTTTGGGTTGTAGGGAAAGGGGTCTAGTAAGAACCCCCCCCCAAAAAAACAAAAAACAAAACAAAACATGCATTGCTAACCCTGGCAACCTTCATTCCACTGTCATCCTGTTTAGCCTGTAATCTTGGTGAACACATCTCCTATGCATTTTGTACACTCAACCTATTCTGTTAATAAAATAACAATAGATCATTAGTGCTGATCCTCAGCTGCTGTGAACCTGCATAGCTCCCTGGATTTCAGCTGAGCAAATGCCAGTTTGCACAAGATCTGCCCCATAATCTGGAAGCTTCTTCAGAAAGGCAAAGTGGTATTCATGTTATATGCTCATTGTTTGCAGACTGATTACTCTTGGCACCCTTTCTCCTGGCAGATTCAAACAAAGCCACTGAGCAAATGGGAAATCAAACACTGATAACAGAATTCATTTTCCTGGGCTTTTCGAACCACCCTGAACTTCAGATGTTATTCTTCCTGGTGTTCCTGGTCATCTACATGGTAACCCTGCTGGGGAATGCTCTGATCTTAACTCTCATTAAGACTGATCCAAGCCTTCAAAAGCCCATGTATTTTTTTCTTAGTAACTTGTCTTTCTTAGACATTTGCTACACATCTGCCACAATCCCAGTCATGCTGGTAAACTTCTTCCGAAGCAGGAAAACCATCTCCTATGCTGGGTGCATTACACAACTCTTTTTCCTCATTACCTGTGCTGGCACAGAATGTGTCCTGTTAGCAGTCATGGCTTATGACAGATATGTAGCTATCTGCAGCCCCTTGCATTACCTGAGTGTTGTGAGCAGGCGGGTTTCTGTGCAGCTGGCTGGGTTTTCATGGTTGTGTGGCTTGGTGAATTCTCTGGTTCACACACTCTTTGCCTCTACCCTAGCTATATGCAAATCCAATCAACTCAGCCATTTTTTCTGTGATGTCCCACTACTGCTGAAGCTCTCTTGCTCAGAGACTTACATCAATGAAACTGTGCTTCACCTGGCTAGCGCCTTGATTGGCTTGAGTCCCTGCCTCTTCACTCTGGTCTCATATGTCTGCATTGTTGGTGCCATCCTGAAGATACGCTCAACTAAGGGCAGATTTAAGGCTTTCTCCACCTGTACTTCGCATCTGACTGTGGTCATCGTATTCTACGGCACTGCCAACTTCAATTATAATCGGCCCAGCTCAGGCTACTCCCTGGATGTGGATACCTTGGTTTCATCCTTGTATTGTATTGTAACACCCATGTTAAACCCACTTATCTACAGTTTAAGGAATAAAGAGGTAAAGGATGCATTGAAAAGGATGGGCAGAAAATATTTTCCTTCAGTGCCAGAGCCCAGCAATAGACAGGGGACTTCAGTACCATTGCGAATAGAGAACATCTGTATAAACTCAGTGTCAGGACATGATCAGAGCATGTTAAACCTACAGTGACATTACCATTTTTCTGACTCTCAAGCTACTTTGACAATAAAATCGATTTGAATCTACTTCTAATTTTTATGACACTGTACATAGGTCAGGTCAAGGCTGAAACAATGTTGTGCCTGGTATCTGTGCCCTAAAACATGTTCTGCTGCTTCACTCAGGCTGCACCCTGAGCTGGAAATAGTGGAGAGGAATCTGCACTGGTGTGGGCTGAGTAATATTGTCACTCCTTGAGATTAATTAGCCTTCCCCTGGTATCCCATGGTCTTGGCAACATGGCTTCTAGTTGGGGAACTAGCTTATGTGGGGTAGTGTGTTGTGTTTGAGGGTGCCACTGTTGGACATGTAGTCTAAACCTGGTTTTAGATACTCTGGAAGAGCTCAGAGCCCCATAGTGCCTGTACTACACTTCACAAATAAACTAGACTGCCCCTGCCTCAAAATGCTTGTAGTCTAGGACCCAATTCATCCATTTGGGTGACTCCCAGTGTTAGAGGGAGTTCCACATGGTCACAGAGGTATTCCTCTCCAAAATGGCATCAGAACAGAGCAAAAGTAAGCAAGATAGGGGGAGGAAGGAGGCAGTATCTTACAGGTGGGGGAACAAAGCTCAGAGATCAAGTGTCTCATTTAAAATCCCTCATTTAGGCTGTGGTAGAACACCATTCCCCAGAGTCCCAGACTGTATGCACAAGGTCAGTTCTTGCCTAATCCTGTTGGAAGCTCCTGGATTGAGCAGACCTTTGTAAGGAGCTCAGACCTTGGTGAAGTGTTACGAATGGAGATATCAAGGAAACCAAAGGAATTTACTGCAAACAGATCAAATTGTAATGACTGCAGGCCAGGTTGTGTACTGAAGATGTACACATGTCTCCAGCCTTTCATCCATCTCTGCCTTCCTAAAAAGGGATGCCAGTTAAACCTAGCTCCTTCATTGCCTGTTGAAGCTGGTGACACTTACAAATGTTCCTGGTGCCTCTGGATTTGGCCCAGAGGGAGGAAATTAACTTGTGATCTTGGTCCAAATCTCTCCAGAAGTCCCTGGTGCTGGGGGAAGGGGGGAGATGCATGTAGCAGGTCTGGGGTTCAGAAACCTACATGCACTTGCAGATGGGGAAGGGAAATGTGGTTCTCTTGTTTTTTCACCAGATGTGTGTTCATGACCTGACATAGGACAATACAGTGAGCAGCCTGGTCCAACTAAAGACGTATCAGTGAAGATGTGTCCTTGAAGGGCCAGCATAAGAGCTTGCCACTCTCCTTAAATAACAGGGCATTGTAGTAAACTTGGCTCCTGTATTACAGCTGGGAGAAATGGCTGGATAAATCCATCCCTGGGCAGTTCAGGGGTATTACAACCCATGGGAATTGCAAAGCCATTGACCTAGACCTGCTTTGGACTATGCTGCCCAAATTTGTGTAGAGACGAAGGGGCCCTAAAGTTCACATAAACAGCTGTGAGAATATTGCCTCAGTGCATGAGAGTATTTGAGCAGTGTGGGCCAGTACTGTGGCTCCTGCTCCATCTTTCTTCCCACCTGTAATAACGGGCAGCTTTTGCCTCACTAATTCTTTGCTGCCCTGTTGACACCTTCAGTTAACTGACATCAGCCTGCTCTGACTTTGGCTGAGACATAGGCCTAATACAATCTTCTCAATCCAGCCTATCCCTGCTCTGATGCTGGTTTAGTTTCTGATCCTCAAGTTCAGGACATGGTGGAGTTTGAGTACAGTCCGGATCAGAACTCTCCGTTTGCAGGGTATCTGCCTCACTCTTTCTCAAAACAGTAATTTCCTGGAAATCAAGGCCCAGGCTTCTGGATACCCCAGCCTGCCAATTGGTGGGAACTACATGATGCGTCTTCCAGCGTAGGTAACTTGGCATCCTGTTTTTCAATGCAACTTGGCACAATGTTTTTCAACCTTAATGCAACTAATTACTTCCCACAAAATTTCTAACCAGCTGACCCTGCCTTTTCCCCCTTAGCTTGTCTCAGGTGAGACCTGCACAGCACACTGCAGAGTACTGTAGAGACACCTGTATTAGCTCTGAATGAGATTGCTTGGGTACAGAGTGGGGCAGTTATCAACAGCAGCTTAGAGGCAACTTCATGGAGCTCTCTGGGGGCCAAATTACCCTGCTGCTTCTCAGGAAGGTAAACCAGCCTGCATGCAGTTTCCTGCAACTGCAGCTAGACTGATCCCAGTACCAGAGCAAGCTCATGTGTTTACACTACACTGCAGCATACAGTGAAGACAGATGCCCACTGTTTCTGTTTCCCCATATATTCCTGATCCTGGAACTCTCCCTAGCATAATCCTTTGAAAGGCTGCATGTCTCTGGAGAGTGTGGAGGGGGAGGCTCATCAGTATTTGTCTGAGCTCTCCTTAGGTTGGGTACCCACCTGCAGGTACACCAAGGTGTTGCTTCTCTTGCACAGTAGTTCCTGGCATTTGACATGCTGGCTTGGACAGATATCTGGGAGCTGCTTAGAAAAGAAGGGCAATCCCAGATTGCTCAAGATCTTCCAAGCACCGTGAATCCTTTCATGAATTTTCCTTGGAGGCTGTGCCAGACTTGCCTTCTCTGCCTCCCTTAGTGCAGATGGTTGGATTAGACCCTTGAGGTACCTACCAGCCTTTGGGTTTTTGTCACATGACACACTACAGTGTTTTTATTTACACTGTGGCCTCTTTATTTTGACAAACTAGCATAAATGGGCCTAAGCATAAATGAGAAACAGGCCCATTATAGTGGTACCACATGCTTCTGGAGATCTTACAGGTCTCAACCTCTAAATGCTGAAGGTTGTTTGGAGAAAGGAGGAACACTCTTCCTCCTCTCAATATCAGCCTTTTCTCAGTGTCTTTGGGCACCTTGCAGTCATGGCAGCTTTGGATAGGATGAGTGGATCGATGCTGTTCCCCAGCCTGGTTAAGGCTAGAGAGAGAGCTCAAATTCTGCATGGATGTTGTCTGTCCCCTTAGAAGGACTCAGACTCTGCACAGAAGGTAGAGAACAGAAACTAACTTTTTTTCCACATTGCATTTTCTTTTGCAAGATGAGTAAGGAGAGAAACAGCTGAGATGTTCTTCATATGCTAAAGTGTGAATTTTGAATATTTTTCATGTGTAAATGGTTCTATGATACAAGTGACCCCAAAAGCGTTTGTTATAAGATTCTTGCAATTCTGTTATTGACCCAGAGACATATAAAAGGGGAGAACAATAGAGCAAATGAAAAGTGGCCAGGGAGACATTTCCCTATGAATTTATCATCTCCAGAAGAACAATCTCTTGCTTGCTGGCTTATTGATATTTTACTTTGACTTGCTTTGGAGAACCCTTCACTTCATGTGTGTTTATTTTGTTTAGTTTAGGGTGAAGGGTGTACAGAGCTTGGGTACTAGAAGAAGTCTAGGTGCATAGGCTAATGCAAAGTCCAAGAACCAAGGTAAGTTAACCTAGGCAAAGCTTTCCAGTGCTGTGGTTAGAGTGCCAGTTTAAAGCTAGTCCAGAGATTCTGCACTGTGTTGCAGTCTTTAGTGCTGAAATACCCCTAGTTTATACTCTACAGTGAGTACATCTACACAAGACAATGAGTAATAAACTAATTCTACTGCATATTAGCACATCATGGCAAAAGCCATGCTAATGCACAGGTGAATTAGTCTATTGTGCATTAAGCATCATGAAAAGACCATGCACTGGCACTACTGCACCATAGCACCAGCTACTGTGCATTTAGTTAGTACCTCATATTAGAGGTACTAAACTTAACGTGCAATACTAATGCAGTGCACTAATACATGTGTAGACATGGCCAGTGCCATGTAGAAATAGCTCAGGTACTGGAAGTGATATAGCCCCATTAGCAGAGTCCTCCACCTGGGCTAACCCTGCTCAGAAACTATAATGCTGCTTGTACCTGATCTGATGCTGTGCTGTGCTATGCTGTGCTGTGGAGCACAGCACAGCATAGCACGGCACACTTTACTTTAGTGTAAAGGTATCTTTATTTGGAATGATATTTCACTTTTGCTTCTAAGCTAAAGCTGTGTTCATGATGCTCTGGTTTCAGCTTGTCAGACTGACTATGAATAGTAGAAGGCCACTAGGGACTCTAAGATCATAAACTACCACTATGGATAACTAGGGCTTTAGGAAATGAAAGATGTACATTACAGAGTACAGAGCACTCTTTGACAATGATTTGGTGGCTGTAAAAGGTCCTTGCCTGATGACAATGATTTGGTGTCTGTAAAAGGTCCTTGCCTGATGGCGTTAAAGATGAAGGCCTGTGAAAACCTAGCTAGGGGAAGGGACAAAGGGTTATATAGACACTGGTTGCCTTCACCATTGGATACCGATGGCAGAAAAAGAGTTAGAGTTCATGTAGAAGACAGCCTAACCCTTCAAGAGACATCTTGCTTTAAGTGTAAAGCTGTGCCCTGCTCTGAAGCTTGTGCTCTCTGGAAGAGCCAGTGAGTGCATTGACCTAGTGAACTGTATAAAATAACAGTAAGCGAGATGGAAGATGAGACGGTGAGCCACCATCCACCCAATAGAACCCAACAGCTGGTCTTTCTCTCTCCCCAGTAACGAATGGCAGCTACTTGTGTTTGTGGTCACTCACCTCAGCTGGGCACCTGAGCTGTTGGGGCCTTGTAGTGGAGCTGTTGTCCATGAAGGATAAATTGATTTTTGATTCTGTGTACATTGAACTGTGTGCACATGAGCGAAGTCCTTTTATGTGTGGGGAGAACTTAGCAAGTCCTGTTATGTGCATGGTGTTAAAAAAAGGAGGAGTCACACAATGGGCAACACTGGGTGTGTCTATATGTGTGCTTTAATGTGCAGTAGACTACTTTACTTCTCATTAAAATGTCACGTAAAAATGGTGACATTATGCTAATATGAAGTAAAATAGTCTACTGCACATTAAAAAAGCATGCACATGCACTACTGTGCATTAGGGTAGCCTAACAAACATTAATTTAGTACCAAAGGACACTTCCATGTGC